AGCCATGAAATTAAAAGACGCCTGCTCCTTGGGAGGAAAGCGATGGTGAACTTAAACAGCATGATAAAAAGTAGAGACATCACCCTGCCAACAAAAGTCCGCATGGTCAAAGCAATGGTATTCCCAGTAGTCATGTATGGCTGCGAGAGTTGGACTATAAGGAAGGCCGATTCTTTTGAACTATGGTGCTGGAGAAGACTCTTGAAGAGTCCCATGGACTGCAAGAAGATCAAATCAGTCAATCCTAAAAGAAATCAACCCTGACTGTTCCCTGGAAGGCCAGATAATGAAACTGAAGCTCAAATACTTTGGCCACCAAATGGGAAGGTAGCACTCACTGGAGAAGACCCTGATGCTGGGAAAGATTGAAGGTCAAAGAAGACGGGGACGGCAAAGGATGAGATGGTTAGAGAGTGTCATAGATGCAACGAACATGAAACTGAGCAAACTTCAGAGGACGGCAGAAGACCGGAAGGCCTGGCGTGATCTGGTCCATGCGGTCGCGAAGAGTCAGACTCGACTGTGCGACTGAACAACAACAACAAAAATTTATTGAGTCGGCCTAAGTCGGAAGTGACTTGATGATGCATATTGCAAATATTTAAAAAGTAACAGCCCATTTGCTAGTTCTGGTGGACTGAGGCCCATGCCTTTTCTTCCGAAGAGTCCATACAGTTTAGAAACCGAACGATTGCAAGTCTTGTGTAAATCTTGGGGATGCTACCCAAATTGTCTTCATCCAAGTTTCTCTCTCTCTGTTTTGAAATGCCAAGTCACCTGGTTTCGTTTCCCAAATGGAACCGATGCATTTGGCACTTTCCCCGGGTACATCTTTTTATTTCTGAATTGTGTACAGGACACAAATTTTCACACACCATTTGCTGCAGACTTTAGTTCCTTGTCTTTACAGCCATCTTCTTCCCCTTTAGGTTTCTGGTATGCACATGTGCATTGATCAAAATAATTGATTAGATTATACTTACAGTCACATCAAGACTCTTCCTGCAGGGTGTTTAACCAATGCACAGGAATGCAAGCATGCATTGGGTTTGGTTTGGTTTTTTAAGTTTAAAATTGCACATCCTTACTGTGGGGGTTTTGCAACCTTTCCTATTTGGCTCTGGGTTTTTTAAGGTTTTAGCAGATGCCCTGTGCAGTTTTGGATGGCTGCTCCAGGAATATCCCCTGGAAACATCCCAAGGTGATGCTACTCTTTTTAGGAGATTTTAATGCAAGACTTAGTTCTAAGTAAAGGTAAAGGTTCCCTTGCTCAAAAGCCAGTTGAATCCGACTCTAAGGTTGCGGTGCTCATCTCCATTTCCAAGCCAAAGAGCCAGCGCTGTCCGAAGATGTTTCCGTGGTCATGTGGCCGGCATGAGTAAACACCAAGGCGCACGGAACGCTATTACCTTCCCACCGAAGAAGTACCTGCTTATCTACTTCCAATTTCTTGCTTTTGAACTGCTAGGTTGGCAGGAGCTGGAACCAGAGATGGGAGCTCACTCTGTCATGCAGGACTCGGGTCTCGAACTGCTGAACTACCGACCTTCCGGCCTGCAGTTCAGCGTCTTAACCACTGGAGCCACCACAGCTCCCAAGACTTGGTTCTAGTAATGAGCAATTAAGTGTTTTATTGAATTGGGAAGATTTAGATTCTACTCCACTACCTTTTTTACTACCTAGGATCTCTAAAGACTCTACTGTTAATATGGCAGGCCATCTGCTAGCAGATATATGCACTGAATTAAATTTGGGTATTCTGAATGGTTCTCCTCATTTACACCCTAATGGATCCTTTACATTTGTCTCTTCTCAAGGATGTAGTATGGTAGATTATGCAATTTCTTCCCTTGAACTGAGAGACTGTATTACCAGATTTTGTATTAATGACCGCACTGAGAGCGACCATCTTCCAATCTCACTGACCTTTGAATTAGGTTCTGGAATCGAAAGCAGGTCCCACTCACCATATTCCAATTCTGATGAGATGCAATGTAAAAAAGAAGAAGATGAAGAAGAGATTGGATTTATACCCCACCCTCCACTGATGTACCTCTGCTCCATATGCTTATCCAGTTCCCTCTTGAAGCCGTCCATGCTTGTAGCCACCGCCACCTCCTGTGGCAGTGAATTCCATGTGTTCATCACTCTTTGGGTGAAGAAGGAATTCCTTTTATCCATTCTAACCCGACTGCTCAGCAATTTCATGGAGTGCCCACGAGTTCCTTTGCTTCTGTTGGATTCTCTGGGCTTGGTACTACCAGGGAACCACGAGAAGAGTAGCAGAGTGCTCAAGGCTTGAATGCAGCAGAGCTGGGACTGGTTGCGGCAACAGACAAAAGGTACGGGGCGGAGCGTCGGTCGAGTATGGCGGACGCACTCTGAGTACTCTCCGTGCCACTCTCCCGATTTTCCCTAACCATCGGAAACCCCATCGCAATTTTCAGCCTCCAGAATATGGGCAAAAGCAGCGACAAGAAGACACAACGAAAAGAACTTAAAACGGTAAAGTCGAACGCTTTTTTTGGCCCTTATAAAACGAAAGTTATCTCCGAGGCTAAAACTCTAACGCCAAACAAAATGGCGGACGGAGAGAAAACTGTCTCCGGGACTGGAGAAACCTTAACAAAAGAGGACTTAAAAGATACCCTGGGGGCATTTAAACAAGAGTTCTTAGTAAATATAAAAGAAAACATCAACGAGATAATAAAACCCCTTGCTGACAAACTTGAAGCTCTTTCTATTGCAACTCAAAACATGGCGACTACGGCAGAAACTGCATTAGAAGCAGCGATTGCCAATCAGAATGATATACAAAGCCTTCAGGAAAATGAAACTTGGGCAAAAGAACGAATACTTATGCTCGAGCATCGTTCAAAAGAGCGTTTCTTGAAATTTAGAGGCTTCCCTGAGTCAGCTGAAGGGTCTGACGACATGATGACTTTCCTTTCCACGTGGCTCACCACGGTGATTTCCTTTGAAGATGATATGGCTCCGCTATTACTTAGAGCCTACAGACTGGGTCCGAAAAATGCAGAAAAAAGAAAAGGACCACGAGATATTGTGGCTGAATTCATGGATTTATCCATTAAAAACAAGATTTTACAGGAAGCTAAAGCAAAGGGACATTTTAAATATAACAACGCCGACATTCAAGCATTCCCGGACATTCCTCCTGAGGCGCTGCAAATACGGAGGAACCTAAAAGCCGTTACTAAGAAGCTGCAAGAGGCTCAAATTAAATATAAATGGGCCACTACTGGATATCTGCAAGTCCGATATAAAGGCTCTACACTCCAAGCTGATGACTTTGAATCCGGAATTGCCCTGCTACAAGAGCTAGGTCTGCAAGCAACACAAGAAATGGAAGTTGACCCGGCGCAACAAAAGAAAAGAAAACGGGAGGAACGAGGGACTCCAAGTAAATGGAGCCGAATTCCACCCCGCAGACGCATTGAGCTTTGAGTAATACTTTCTTTTTAAGCGATTATTTCACTTGTTTATACCTTGTTGCATAGTATGCTGATCGGAGATGTGGGTTTCTAGCATGTTAATTTTAAAGAAACAGGCAAAGGGAAAGGGAGGGGGGGTACTGAGGCATTCAGAAGAACCTCCAGGATGGAGTGGCTATATTTTGTTATATTTTGGTATTATGCGACAGCGGTTCTAGGGGAAGAGCCAACAGGGCTCCGTGTGAGACTCTCTCACACTGCTGAGAACCGACTTTTTCTTTTTTTTGATTTTTCAGTTAGCAATAGTTATAATGTTTACTGAAGGTGCAACTTTAACAGGGAAGGGAAGGGGGAGGGGGGAAAGTTTCAAAGTTAAAGTCTGTTTTACTAGTTCCAGTTTCAATGGTTCCACAACAGTGTGCTCATTGTGTTGTACATATATATCTTTATTTGAGTTCTTAATAAATCTTATAGGTTATTTAAAATGCAAAGGGTTGCTGTTAAACATTTTAAGTTTATATTTGCTGATGCCTTTATGGTTGCTCTTAGTTATACTCTTTTGTGTTAAATTGATGACTGGTGTTTTTATTTCAGATGGAAATATTATTAAGGTTACAAATAGGGCTTCCTGCGTTACTTATTGTATAATACAAGCAGAGCAAGACATCTTTTTCTCATTTTATAAAAATGACTGAGTTGAAAATAATATCTCTAAATTGTCGAGGAATAAATAATAAAATTAAGGCGAAGCGAATCTCTAAAGACCTAAAGAAAGCAAAAGCAAATGTGGTCTTCCTCCAGGAGACTTACATAAAAAAAGGCCAAATAGCATTACCTTCTGCATGGTATTCTTCTCAAACACTATCTTATGGTTCCTCAAAAGCGAGGGGGACTGCAATTCTTATTGCAAAAGACACAAATTTTACCATAACTGATACTAAGGTGGATATGATGGGCAGATATGTTTTTATTAAGGGCCATCTCCAGGACAAACCAATAACATTTGCAACATTATATGCTCCTAACTTTCAACAATATGAGTTTTTATCTCAAACACTTGATTTACTACAGGCTTTTAGAAAGGGTCCAGTGATCTTAGGAGGAGATTTTAATATGCTGATGGACCCTAATTTAGACAGAACCACATCTAGAACGAGTAAAAACCTTAAAAATCAGAACAAACTTAAAGCTTTAGCAAAAAAATTTAACTCTTTAATGTTCTCCCACCGCTTTTATGATATATGGAGAATCCAGCATCAAAATAGCAGAGATTATACCTATTTTTCCAATCAGTTCCAAACTTATACTAGATTAGACTATATTTTTGTTTCTGAGGAGTTTTTAAATCAGTCAATCTCTTCGAATATAGAATCACAACTTTGGTCAGACCATGCGGCAGTTGACTGTATAATTACACTCCAAAATAAGACACAACAACAATATTTTTGGAAATTCAATAACATTTTATTATTTGAACCAAAACTCTTTGAACATTTACAAAAGGAAATCAAAAATTTTTTTAACCAAGTCGAAGACGAAGAGATTTCAGAGCTAGTGAAATGGGATACATCCAAAGCCGTCCTTAGAGGTACTTGTATATCTTTGATGGCACACTGTAAAAAAGAGAAGAACAAACATCGTGAAGAATTGCTAAATACCATTCAAAAACTTGAGACCCTACATAAGAAATCATGTAGTAAAAGAATATTTCAAAGACTGAACAATGTAAGAAAACAATTAGAACTGGTGGATACTTCTTGGATACAACAAACAAATTTTCATAGGCGCCAAACTAATTTTAAAAATAGCTCGAATCAAATGAGATATTTATCTTGGAAAATTAAAAAAAAACAAAATGAAAGACATATAACTAGTCTTAGGGATGCAGAAGGTAAGCTCCATCACTCAACCCCAGAGATTGTTCGAATTATGCAAAATTTTTATTCGAAACTATACACCTCTACTATGCCATCTAAACATGATATACAAACCTTTCTTACCACTAATCTACAAATACCCCAATTGACTAAAGAACACACAGATTTGCTAGATTCTGAAATCTCACAACAAGAAATTGAATTAGCAATTAATCAACTTAAAAATAATAAATCTCCCGGCCCTGATGGGTTTAGTACCGAATATTATAAAGCTTTTAAGTCAATCTACCTTAGACCTTTTCAAAAACTATGCAATGCCATTTTAAGGACTGGGACAATGCCTGAAACATGGAACTCAGCTAACGTAATTTTAATTCCCAAAAAAGGAAAGGATACCACCGACCCAAAAGCTTTTCGCCCTATCGCATTATTAAACTCTGACTATAAAATTTTTACTACCATATTAGCAAACCGATTAAAATCCATCATAGCACAATATATACACCATGACCAATCTGGTTTCGTCCCCTCTAGAGATATTTCCGAAAATATCCGAAAAACATTAAACGTCATCCACTCAGCTAAATTAAACTTTCTGCAACAATCTCTTATGCTTTCGATCGATATGGAGAAAGCTTTCGATTCTATGGAAACTAGCTACCTTGAAACTTTGTTAAATCATATGAAATTTGGTCCTTCATTTTGTAAATATATTCAGGCCATTTATCGTTCACCAAAAGCTACATTATTAATTAACGGAACCACTTCTTCATCTATAGCATTGTACCGCGGAACACGACAAGGGTGCCCGCTTTCGCCCTTGCTTTTTATAATAGCAATTGAACCACTGGCTATTGCCCTTAATACTAACCCCCAAATATCAGGTATAACTATAAATAATATGGAGTTAAAAACAAGTTTATTTGCAGATGATATTCTTATTTATATTACTAATCCTCTTATATCGTTAACAGCAATTACCCAAGAATTAACAAAATTTGGGAAAATATCTGGACTAAGAATCAATCATACTAAAACAATAATATATCCTATAAATTTAACGCAAAATTTAACTACCCAAATACATAATTCTTATAAATTTCAATGGACAACCACAACTCTGCCTTATTTAGGAATAAATATCCCTCTACACATGAGCGACCTTTTTAAAGTTAACTATTTAGAACTTCACAAACGAATTAAGCACCAAATTCTACAATGGAACAAACTATTCTTTTCTTGGAGTGACCGCATTATTGTAATAAGAACTTATATCCTATCTAAATACTTATACCTATTTAGAACAATACCAATTTATATAAATAAACAACAATTAAATAAATGGCAAACGGATATTAACCACTTCCTATGGAAATTTAAAGCCCCTCGTATCAAACATGTTACTTTAAGGGCATCTAAGAAAAAAGGTGGTTTAGCTTTGCCGGACTTACATTTGTACTATGCTGCGACTAACATTGCAAATGTTATAAAATTGTACCACGCAACAGCAACTCCACAATGGAGTAAAATAGAACACCATAACTATACTAACACTTTCATTAGAGAATTAATGTGGTGTCATAGTAGTAAAGAAGCCCTCAATAAAATTTCTAATCCTTTTTTAAAAACCAATGTCAAACTATGGTTTCAATATAAAACAAAACTTTCTTCTATATATTCTAAAGTAAGTACTTTCACCGGGCAAAACTGGTTTTTACCTGCAAAAGAGACAAATACTTACCCCACTTGGAAAGAAAAGAATATCACAAGGATAGTTGATGTCATCCAATATGGTAAAATACTCCCGAAACTTGTTTTGGAAAGGAAACATAAAGTCAAAATCAGATGGTTTGAATATTTACAAGTCCAAAATCTAATAAACACCACAAAATTTCAACAAACTATAATAGAACCAACAACACAATTTGAATCTTTATTATTAAAACCATACAAGAAGAAAGGATTAATAGCAAAAATTTACCAACAACTGTTGGATGCACTGACCTCTAAGAAACATACTTACCAAACTGCTTGGCACAAAGATTTACAGCAAGAGCTATCCGAAGACCAATGGAACGAGATATGGAGGACGCAACACATGATTTCTAAATCTTTACCTATACAAGATACATCAATTAAAGTTTTACACAGATGGCATTTAACCCCTGTGAAATTGGCTTATATGCATTCTAACTTGTCTCCCACATGCTGGAAACTATGCGGAAATAAAGCAAATTACATACATAATTGGTGGACATGTCCTAAAGTCCGACAATTCTGGCAACAAATTATTGATAGAATTAAATTACTAACAGGCCAAGAAATACCTATGGACCCAAATTTGATTTTATTAAATTTATGGCCATCAGACAAACCCTCAAACAATACTCAACAACTGATTAACGTTATGATCACAGCAGCTAAAATATTGTTAGCTAAAAAATGGAAATGCCAAAATATGCCTACAATGGAGCAATGGACACATAAGCTATGGGATTTTTTCCTACTCGAAAAATTTTCAATATATAATACGCCTTTTCAAACCGAATGTGAAATATATAACCCATTAGAAAAATGGGCTCCTATTTTAGAAAAAGTTATTATTGACAAGTTTGATTGGGAGACAATTTCCAAAGTTAAATATCAGATTATGTTATATGGTTAATATTGTTATTGTACAAGCTAATGTTCTATATAGAAAGTTTGTTATTGTAAATATGCATTGTTTTCTTAGTCATAGATTTTGCTGCTGGCATGGAGGAACCTAATTTTCAATTTTACTGTTATCTTTGTAATTTCTCTTCTGCCTTGTACCTTCTGGATATTTATCTAATAAATAAACAGATTTTGTTTAAAAAAAAAACACAGACAAAAGGTACACGGAGTCAGCAACCAGTTCTAAAACTAATAAGAAACTATAGGTGGCACTGGTCACCGGATAAAATGGCTAAATGCTATAAAGAGGTGTCAGGAAACTGTTGGAGGTGTAAAAATAACGTGGGTACCTTTTTCCATATGTGGTGGCGGTGTGAAAAGATCTATAAATTTTGGAAGGGTATTAAGCACTTAATAACAGAGATTATGGGCATCGAATTGCACCTAGTACCAGAAATCTATTTACTTAACATAATACCAGATGGATATAGGCATGATGAACTATGTATTTTGTCATATATTCTTACTGCAGCCAGGATATTGGTTGCCAAGTGTTGGAAATCTGAAAACCTACCTGTTAGAGAGGAATTGATTATAAAAATCTGTGATGTGGCAGAAATTGACAAGTTGAACATGATTCTTTCAGTTAAAGAGGATAAGGCTTTTCAAAAGAGATGGTTTAGAGTTTATAAATGGTTGGGGAAGAATGCATAACTCCATAAATGTATTTCATATACAAAATATTGTTTCTTTTCTATTTGGCTTTTATTTTTATGTTTACCTTCTTTTTGTGGTTTTGTAATGAAAATGATAAATATTGTTATCTTTTTTTGTAATGGAAAATCATAAATAAATTTGTAAAAAACAAAAAGAAACTTTTATTAAAGGAAATACAGGCAGGTAAGAGATCGGTATAGATTACCTACTCTAACTAACTAGATGGTGGTGGATGCTAGACACATGGGGTGATTTCCCACAAGCGCTGCTCCGCGCTCACTCTTCTCTTTGGCCCGATGGTACGTGTCAATTTCACACAAGCTGCTGCGCGACCGCATTTTGCCCCGCAGCTTCGTGCGATTTCCCCCGCGTCTCCTCAATCCTGTTTTTTGAGGATTGAGTAGACGCGGGGGAAATCGCACGAAGCTGCAGGGCAAAATGCGGCCGCGCAGCAGCTTGTGTGAAATTGGCATGTACCATTGGGGCAAAAGGGAGGAGTGAGTGCGGAGCAGCGCTTGTGGGAAATCACCTATGGTGTAAGATGGAGATATCATGCACCTTCTTTTGTGTGGGTGCAAGAGAGAAGCGTGAGAGAGAGCGGGAACAGAGGAAATTGCTCTTAAGAGTAGCTTCCTACTTCAAAGGAAAAGATCAGATAGCAGGAAGGAAAGGATGCTCTGCGTTTCCTGGCTTTTCTGTCTGTCTAAACTCTTTGGTGCCGTCTTCTCAAGTCGGAGACAGGAGACAGCGCCAAGTCCTCCACTTCTAACAGCTTCTCCTGTAATGAGCATATCTTGAAAATAGTTTGTGCAGCATGCGGCAAATTGTTTTAATAATAACTACAGGGGAAATGTTTTTTATTCGATACATATGTTTATGGTTTTGTTACAACAGTATCTAAGAGATCTTCATCTTTAGGTGACACGGAAGTACGGGAGTGTGCATGTCCCCGTGGTTAGTCACCGTGTGCTAAGGGAGGGGACCTGCCATCGTTCTGACGATTGATCTGGGCTTGCCTCTCTAGGAGCATCCGATGCCTTCGAAATATCATCCACTGGAACCTGATCACGACGTTCATCCTGAGGAACGTGATGTGGTTCGTGCTTCAGATGATTGACCACAACATCCACGAAAGCAATGAGGTACTTTATCCCATCTGTAAACACAAGAAGAAATGCACCGGTTTAATTTAAAAGTAGTTTAGGTTTGTAGCGTAGGCACTGCAGTCTCCAGTAAGGTGGATAAGGGTTCAACCCCACTATGGGAGACTATCTTTGCTATGCAATCAAGACTGGTAATGTCATGTTGCACTTTCTGGCGAAAGGAACGTGTTCCCCTATTGCAAATTGGCCAAGTGCCGGTTTATGACAGCCAGTTTGGTGTAGTGGTTAACAGTGTGGGCTCTAATCTGGGAGAACCGGGTTTGATTCCCCACGCCTCCACATGCAGCTGCTGGTGTGACCTTGGGTCAGTCACAAGTTCTTTCAGAGCTGTTCTCTCAAGGACAGTTCTTAAGAGAGCTCTCTCAGCCCCACCCACCTCACAGGGTGTCTATTGTGGGGAGGGGAAGAAGAAGGGATTGTAAGCGACACTGAGACTCCTTTGAGTAGTGAAGGGTGGGGTATAAATCCAATCTCTCCTCCTCCTCCTCCTCCTCCTCTTCTTCTTCTTCTTCTTCCTGTTCTCTATTTATTCCATCTTAAATCTCTACAAGTCCGCAGAGCTTTTATGCTCACCAAATGCAACAGGGCTCTTCTGATGTTCTTATGAGCATGCCTCTTTTCTCAACCTCTTGGGTTACCTTATTCCTTTTGGGTTGTGTCTTTTCCCTTTCATTTGTCTTCCGATTCCATGTCAGGCAGATTCGTGAGTTGTTGTGCTTCGGATTTGCCTTCTCTCTTCCTTCGAATCTCTCTGGAAGACTCTGTAATGCCTCTTCCCCCAAGGACAATAACAGCCTTCCTCACTCTCCCTCACAAACTGAGAGCCAGTTTGGTGTCGTGGTTAAGTGTCCAGACTCTAATCTGGGATAGCTGGGTTTGATTCCCCACTCCTCCGCTTGCAGCTGCTGGATGACCTTGGGCAAGCCATAGTTCTGTCAGAGCTGTTCTTGAAAAAAGGGCTGTTTCTGTCAGAGCTCTCTCAGCCCCACCTACCTCACAGGGTGTCTGTTGTGGGGAGAGGAAGGGAAAGGAGATTGTAAACCGCTCTGAGACTCCTTTGGGTAGTGAAGGGCAGGGTATAAATCAATCTCTTCTTCTTCTTCTTCTTTCTTATCCCTCATCATATTACACCATAAATAGCATGGCATATCACTGGTGATATCTATTTTGACCTAGCCAGCAGTGCCATCGGGGCGTGGTTTTGCCCCAAGGGCCGGATGCCCCCTCTCTCCGCCTGCCTTTCTTACTCATTCAGGCCTTTACTGTAATTTATGTTGCTGGTCGTCTTCCAAGTCTAGATGGTATCTTGAGAAGAAGAAAAATCCAAAAGCATTAATCTTTCCCCCCCTTTTTTGGGAAACAGGTCCCGTTCCTATAAATAATCTCTGCCTCCTGGACATCGCCCTGTCCTATATAATAGGATTCTGCTAGACTGAATTATGTCCCCTGCTTGTCAAAGCCTCAGAAACATGTTTTCTTCACCTCCCGCTGCCTGGTCTCATCTGTCCTTTGCTTTCTCATCACAGGAAGGGTGCCTACGACTCTCCCCTCCGTCTTTCTCTCTCTCTCTCTCTCTCTCTTTCACACACACAGATGGATTGACACAAGCTTTCTTAAAGACATAAAAGAGGCAGCATGGTGTAGTGTATAGAGGAAGAAGAGGAGGAGGAGGAGGAGGAGGAGGAGGAGGAGGAGACTGGATTTATACCCCACCCTTCATTACCCAAAGGTATCTCAGAGCGGCTTACAAACTCCCTTCCCTTCCCCTCCCCACAACAGGGCACCCTGTGAGGCAGGTGGGGCTGAGAGAGCTCTTGACAGAAACGGCTCTTTTTCAAGGGCAGCTCTTATCAGAACTATGGCTTGCCCAAGTTCATCCAGCCAGGTGCAAATGGAGGAGTGGGGGAATCAAACCCGGTTCTCCCAGATTAGAGTCCGTGCACTTAACCACGACACCAAACTGTGGACTATGATGCCAGGAGACCCAGGTTCGAATCCCCATTGGAGGTTGCCAGCTCCAGTTTTGGAACTGCCTGTAGATTTGGAGGGGAGCCTGAGGGAGGTAGAATTCGGGGAGGGGAGAGACTTAAGAGAGCCCGTGTGGTGTAGTGGTTAGGAGCACAGACTCTGATCCGGGAGAACCAGGTTTGATTCCCCACGCCTCCACATGCAGCTGCTGGCGTGACCTGGGGTCGGTCACAAGTTCTCTCAGAGCTGTTCTCTCAAGGGCAGTTCTCAAAAGAGCTCTCTCAGCCCCGCCTACCTCACAGGGTGTCTGTTGTGGGGAGGGGAAGGGAAAGGAGATTGTAAACCGCTCTGAGACGCCTTCGGGTAGTGAAGGGCGGGGTATAAATCCAGTCACTTCTTCTTTTTCATGCAGTAGAATGCCATATAATCTACCTTCCAAAGTAGCCATTTTGTCAAGATGTCACCTGGAAATCAGTTGTGAATCCCAGGAGAATGCTAGCCACCCCCTGGGGGTTGGGAACCATACCCCCACATCTATAACGGAAGCTTGATAGGTGACTGTGAGCCGAGCCTACCTCATGGGGTCGTCGTTGTGGGAGAATTAAAGAGAGGAGAACAATGTTCTAAGCCAGTTTGAATTCCAACTGGGGAAATAGTAGGAGAAGATAGATGATAGATAGATAGATAGATAGATAGATAGATAGATAGATAGATAGATAGATAGATAGATAGATAGATAGATAGATCATTTCGTAGAAAAAGAGATGCAGGAGCTCATTAGCATAACTCATTAGCATAACTCATTTCATATGCCACACCCCCTGACATCACCAGAAGCGTGTCAGAGGGCAACACCCACCACTCAGGCTCCACTGGACTGTTTTGGATTGCAAGCTATTGTCGGGTGGGGGGGCATGCAGATCTCGCAGAGGAGGGAGAGCTTGTACCTGAATAAAACTTGGTCTTAAAGGTGCCACTGGGCTGTTTTGGACTGGGGGGGCAGGGGGCTCTGCAACTTACCTGGCTGCTTCTTGCTCTGACTGAGGGCTGCTGGGAGCAGGGGGTGGGGCTTGTTACATGTGCCCGCCCCCTGGGCTCTTTAGTGCCGGAGCTCCGCTCTTGTGCGCTCCCGCAGGAAATGACTCCTGGATGGATGGATGGACAGATAGACAGATAGATATCCTACTTACAGCTGAAAGCAGCATGGCTCGTTCCGCCACCCATTCCCAGTTTCTTCCTCATTATCGTCCATGTCTCTAAAGCAGGCTTTAATGCACACAGAAAGGGAAGGATGAGGCCCACCTCCACATGACTTCTCAGTGGATGTGGGTAGGAGTAGAGTTGACAACTCATGTTTTAGAGCCCAAAGATTGGCTTCCAAAGCAGTTTAAAATCTACCATAATTTTAAATTAAATTTGGTTGCTGAAATGTGCAGTTAGTTGCTGTTGTTGTTGTTTTATGCGATAAAAAGCTCCACCAAATAACGCAGCACCTCTTGGGACCTTGTAGAACCTGGAGAACCTGAGATTGTAAAAATGATGGTGGGGGAGCCCCCCCAGATGTTAATTCACAATCCTCACCGCCCCATTTTCTAGCTGCTTTTGGCTTCAATAGCTGGGCCCAAGGATGTCCTGGCCTGGTTATAAGGGTCCCCTCTTGGAAGGGTGTCCCACCAGGGGGGTTGCCAGCTCCGGATTGGGAAATACCTGGAGATTTGGGGGGTGGAGCCTGGAGAGGGCGGGGTTTGAGGAGGGGAGGGGCCTCAGCGGAGATGTGATGCCCTGCAGTCCACCTCCAAAGCCGCCATTTTCTCCAGGGGAGTCGATCTCCGTAGTCAGTGTTCCCTCTAAGCTGAGTGAGTGTGAGCCAGCTCACCATTTTTTAGCCTCCAGCTCACACATTTTTGTCTTTGCTCAGGAAAGGTGGCTCCAGAGCAAACTAATTTTTATGCAGCAGCCAAACTACCTGCTCACAACATTAACGCCAGCCGCTCACAAAGTAGAATTTCTGCTCACAGGACTCCACAGCTTAGAGGGAACATCAGTTATAATTCCAGGAGAACTCCAAGACTCACCTGGAGGTTGGGAACTCGCCACCTTCAGTCGGCCTCTCCGAAACAAGAAACGAAAAAGTCTCGACTCATCGCAAAAGTTCATTTTCGCCTTTCAATAAAGCAGAAACGTGGATCTCGTGTTTCATCTCTATTTTTGTGGAGCTCATCTCTGCTTGTGTGCAAAGGAGGTCAGAGATCAGGTTCTCTTGGGGAAATGCGGAGGCAGATCTATTTCAGGTCTGTTTCATCATTCGAGCCCTACGATTTCTGTCACTCTTCCCACCCCCACCCCCGAAAAAAACAGATGTGATTACGCCTGTTTAAGAATCGGCAGGTCTAATCTCATGCTTCATGGGCCCTGGTGATTACCTGCTTGCTAGGGGCGGAGGGGAGTCATTAATTTCTTTTCTCTCCCTCCTTCTACGGCTGCTGATTTTTTCGACTTCCTTATAAAAATTAATTTGACAAACGGGTCGGTTTCAACACGATTCTTATTTTCAAGGCTCTGTGTGTGTGTGTGTGTGTGTGTGTGTGTGTGTGTGTGTGTGTGTGTGTGCCATGGTTCCTCCGTAGTGTAGCGTCAGCACAGGATGTTTTCTATGGAATCAGACTTCATGAAGGGGGAAAGCAAGTTTCTAGTCCCCAAGATTGCAGTGATAGGTAAAGGTAAAGGTTTCCCTTGCTCGAAAGCCAGTCGACTCCGACTCTAGGGTTGCGATGCTCATCTCCGTTTCCAAGCCGAAGAGCCAGCACTGTCCGAAGACGTTTCCGTGATCATTTATTTATTTATTTAGTTATACCCCGCCCTCCCAACGGCTCAGGGCGGCTTACATATGGCAAAGCCAGGGTAAAATACAATAAAACATATGATAAACTACACAGTCTTGTGGCCGGCATGACTAAACACCGAGGCGCACGGAACGCTGTTCCCTTCCCACCGAAGTGGTACCTATTTAT